AAACTTCTATTTCTCTGGTTGGGGAGCATGGGCGTGTGGGTGTCCTTGCGTGCACATGCGTGTGGAAGCCAGAAATTAACACTGGGCATCTCCCAGTGTGAGGTGGGGTCTCAGAATTAGGAGCTCAAGCATTCAGCTAAACGGGCGGGTCAGCAAGCCCCAGCCTCCTGCCCGTATCTGACACTGGGGTTACAGATGCACGAAGCTGAGCCGGAGTGCTGGGGACCTGAACTCGGGTTTCATGCTTGCACAGTAGGCGCTTTGCCGACTGAGCCATCCCCCAGACCTCCGATTTTTATTTCTTTTTAAAACATATCAACCAGAGCACTCCCCAAAAATCAATGAAGACAGCACCTGTAAGAGGAATAAAAGGATCTGAGAAAAGTAAGTTTGGGGAGCATTTTGTTATTATGTCCCTGTTTGTGTCATAAGCTTGAGTTACAACGGCACTTCTCAAATGACTTCGGGAAATCAGAAAAAATATTTACCCACATGAATATTCCCGGGAATATTTTCCACAGCTGTGAACATGTACCTACGGCTCGCTACATCAACAGCCTTGTTTGTGCTTTCAAACATGTCTAATTTCACTTTTAAAATACAGCATTTTTCTGGTTTTGGAAAAATGTCTTTAAAAGCAGGAACAAGCCCTTCTCTTCAGTGGAGCACATGAAAGGCTTCTCTGTCGCCTCCTCTCCTGGAATGGTAACAGGCTGACCCTAATTTCGCTCCTCTAAATAGGGTAACGGTGGTTTGAGCAGGAAATCTAAATCTGGCCTTCGAGGTAGCCCAGTGATTTTCCAGGTCAAGGCAGAGGAAGAAAGCAAAGTTGGGAAGCTTTATAGTCCTCTCCTAGGTACCAACAGGCTCTGCGGCTCGCTGGGAGACGTCTGCCACCTAGTGGGACATAGAGGCCACTGACGCTGCTTGTAACCCTAACCGTGTGGAAAAACCACATCGAACCCCATAAACATGTACAGTGACTGTGTGTTATTTTAAAATAATAAGTTGAAATGGTAAGCGTTTCCGCAGACAAATATAGCAAAGTTTCACGGTCCAAAGCTTCTGTTAGTGCCGGGTAGATTAATACAATAAATAGTACACTACCAGGTGCTGGTGACATTCAATAAGCCAAGAAGTAAAATGTTCCTCTCTCCTTAATGGAAACTGCGCGCTACCACCACGTACAAGAAGTCGCCTCGTAAAACAGTGTCGTGTAAAGTGGAGTGCTTTTATTTAACAACCCTCTCATGTTGACAGCAACCTGTGTGTCCTGGGTGTTTTTTTCCTCTACAGTGAGTGTGAAGTATTCTTAGCCTGTGTCTCCATGATGAAAGTCACACAGCATGTGGTAAGCGCCCGTGCAAAGAGCATCTTCTAACTCGTTACATCCATGTAACAGCTCATTCGCAGTCTTTTGGAAGCAGTCTTTTGGAAATAACGGATGGAGTCGTGTGAAACTGATACGATCAGAGCTAGAGCCCAGGCTGAGCCACCTGACTCTCCCCCTGCTTTCTTTTCTTCCGTCATTTGCCACATTTCTTCCGGGTTACACTAACTAATTGCTATTAAAGAGGTACAGGCACCATGTATATTCAATAGCGTAGCTCAGACCCTCCCCTTCGCAACTCTAAGTTTACTTTCTAGCTGTGGCTCTAATAAGATGGGTTGTGGGCAGGGGTGCCATTTCCCTCTCTTGGCTTCTTCTACCTGGATACTGTCTATTGAAGGCTGTCTGCTGTGAAACCACACGACCACGCATCAGTGACACTTGGGGAGCTGGACGTTCAGAGGATAAACTCTGTTGTTTATGGTAAACAAATGAAAGTAACCTCCTCTTCTGGGTACGGAGCTTCACGCCACCTGGCACCAGAAACTTAACCCTGAGGCACAGAGTACCAAGCTAGAAACAGCTTGGGATTCAGCCTCTCTCCTTTCCCTTCATCTCATCTCCAGCCATGAGCTAGCATTGCCTTCCCTGTGATGCTTAAATGTGGAAACAGAAGTCATTTTCAGTGAAAGGCGTTTCTGTCTTTGGGAACACCCACGTTGCCTGTAGAGTAGACTCCAGGGGTCCTAGAGAAGTGGCCAGAGTTCTCTCAATGTCACAGAGGGAAAGGGTGAGCCTAGAGGTTGGAGAGGAGACAGATTGCCAGGTTCCAGTCCTATGTCTTCCCAACTAAGCCCATTTCAAGCATGCATAGTGGCTGGGATCAGATCCATGAAGACTGGTACTAACGGCCTCATGGGCATTGACTGATATGGCCACTGACTCAGAGGGGCCAAGAGTCCCACATCACTGCCTGGTCGTTCTGTGATGGGGGTTTTCTGATAGATATCAATCGCTTGCATGACAATGTCACACATGGGCATTCATGTGGGCACCTGCTTCAAGATGACAGATAGGCTGGGAGCTGCATGTCTTCAAGGGGACACTTACAGTTGGTAGGATTCAAGCTCATCTGCCCTGAGCCATGGCTGTGCCTGCTTTGTAAAGACTATGTAATGAGATTAGTAGAAACTCATTGGAAGACATGGATGTCGAGGGCGTGCCCGGAGTCTGGGACAGGCTTGGTTTGAAGGGTACTTCAGAATGCATCAAAGTCCCTGAACGAGAAGCCAAAGATAATGGCACTGGGATTTGTCTCTACTGCATGTACTGGCTTTTTGGGATCCTAGTCTGTTTGGATGCATACCTTCCTAGGCCTGGATGGATGGGGGAGGGCCTTGGACTTCCCACAGGGCAGAGTACCCTGCCCCTCTTAGGACTGGAGGGGGTGGGAGGAGGATGAGTGGGGGAGTGGGAGGGGAATGGGAGGAGGGAAGGAAGCAGAAATTTTGAATGGTATTATTTATAAAGCAATAAAAAAAATCTCTGAACGATTCCACCCCAGCTACACAAACCACTTGCTCATTATTGTTGTCTTCATGGAAGTCAGTTCAAAGCAGGACAATATCAATCGGAGAATAAGCAAATGAAAAGGTTGTTTCCAATATTGAAAACCATAGTTGGTTTTCTTACTCTTGGGGGGCCTGCCACCCAGCTTCCAAATAAACACATGGAGATTTATTCTCTCTCTCTCTCTCTCTCTCTCTCTCTCTCTCTCTCTTTTTTTTTTCTTTTTTTTTTTTTTTTTTTTTTTTTTTTTGGTCTTTCGAGACAGGGTTTCTCTGTAGCTTTGGTGCCTGTTCCGGAACTAACTCTTGTAGACCAGGCTGGCCTCGATCTCCCAGAAATCTGCCTGCCTCTGCCTCCCAAGTGCTGGGATTAAAGGCGTGTACCACCACCGCCCGGCTGGAGATTTATTCTTATTTATGAATATATGGCCTTGGCTTGGCTTGTTTCTAACCAGCTTTTCTAACTTTAATTATCCTGTTTCTCTTGAACTGTATTTTGCCTCTGCCCTTTTTACCTTTCTTTATTCTATAGATCTTTCTTCCCTTCTTACTCCTTGGCTGGTTGTGTGGCTGGGCAGCTGGCCCCCGGCATCCTCCTCTCCTCCTTTTCTCACTCCTCCCCCTTTTCTTTCTTTATTTTGAGCCTAGATTTCTCCTCCTATTTATTCCCTCTGCCTGGAAGCCCTGCCTATTTCTCTCTCCTGCCTAGCTATTGGCTGTTCAGTTCTTTATTAGACCAATCAGGTGTTTTAGACAGGCAAAGTAACACAGCTTTACAGAGTTAAACAAATACAACATAAAAGAATGCAACACATCTTTCCATCATTAAACAAATGTTCCACCGCATAAAAGAATGTAACACATCTTAAACTGACCTTCCATTAACAGTAAAGTTTGTATGAAGGAAAACCAAAGTGAGGGGGACTACAAAGCGGTTGGGGAGGGGGAATACAAAGTTGTACGGCACCATGAGCATTCTAAATGGGAAAGTCTCTGTGACCCATGGGGGATGTAGATTTTAATGTCTCTAAATTAACTCTCTTTTAAAAATGACCTTCTTCCTGGAGATGGAGAGGCTACCCAGGGAATGGGCTGGCAGCAGTGTAGGGGCAGGGGGACTATCCTACCTGCAACAGAAATGTTTGTCTGAAACAGGCCTTCACCCTCTGTTTCCAAAGACGAAACCCCAGAGTAAAGATGTCTGGATCTTGTTTAAGGAATATCACCAAGGAACCGCTGCTACTGCAGAACTAGGAAACAGGAAAGGAGAACCGAACAGCTAAGAGCCCTCCTGAAGCCCTGTCTGTGTCTTCCATGACCACCCTCCAATGGGCTCACTTCCCACAGCCCTGTACATTGGCCTGACCTCCTTCATACCCTTCCTGTGGCCACTGCCCCTGCCTGTATGCTCCACTCAACATTAGCAAGCCTTGTGCCCATCCATCTCTAGGCTCGTTTCATTTTTATGAGCCAGATTCTATACTTATATCTAATTTCCATTAGAAAATTTCTTAATTACTTATTCGCAGACTTGCTGGTTTCACACAGTTTGAAGATAAAAATCACTCCCCACCAAGATGCACCATGCTAACCCTGCAACCTTGGACTGGAAACCCCTTGGGCCATGACCCTCACTCATAATGTAGACTGAGTACCATGTGAAGCATGGCCTGTGCCCAGATGTGAGCTACCACAGCTGCTCAGGGAAGGCAGAAGATTAGAAAGACTGCAGAGCCAGGTGTGAAAAGCATTGTTTGAACCACTGTCAATGGTATGACAATAAAAAATGTATTATTCATAAATGCTTCCCAAAATGAGTGTCCTTAGTTCTGTCAACTGTCTACCAGATGGGAGTCTCAATTGAGGGATTGCTCAGATCAGACTGGTCCTGTGGACGTGTCTGTGGGAGTGTCCGTGGGTGTGTCTGTGAGCCATTGTCTTCACCATTGGTTGTAGGAAGGAACAGCCCATATGGTTCTGGTTGTCCTACCCTGACGTCTCTCCTGTAAGGAGAAATAACCCTTTCCTCCCTTCGTTGCTTTGATTCGGAGTGTTTTGTCCCAGCAATAGAGAAGAAACTAGGACAATTAGGAAACAAGCCATTTTACAAACAGACAGATACCTTTAATACAAATGAGCAGTAACTATGTAGCGAAGGCAGAAATAAGCTGTCTTCAGGGAGAGGCCTTTCTCCCAAAAGATACAAGATGCACAGATAAATCAGTGACACTTTGCACATGTTCAGTGGGGGGCACTTTAATTTCATAACGAGCTGTGAGTATTTTCATCAGCTTGAAATTCCAAAGACATTAACAGAATTATTCATTTTCATAATTGTTATGAGTTAAAAAGGAATGACTCCTGTACCATAATATTGTCCTTCTGTGTATTATTCAAAAGTACAACATCCCTGAAGATAAAGGAGAGCGTCCTCCTCTCCTCACATAGTATAAAAATGCTGAGACTACAGCAGGCGTCGGCAATACAAACCAAACTGCACTGTAGAATAAGTTTCATAAACACAAATCCATCTTTTCTCTTTGGTTCAAAAAATACAAGAGGTAGGCTAAAGTCAAAGATTCCCATTTCACTGGATTTTTCAGAAAGCAATTATAACAGAAATGATCAGAAACCAAGTGAGTCTATGGACTAAATCTTAAAATGTAAGAATATGTGATTTTTTTGAGGCAGGGTTTCTCTGGGTAGCCATGGCTGTCCTGGAACTCACTCTCTCTATAAACCAGTCTGGCCTTGAACTCAGAGATTCACCCACCTCTGGTGTGTGGAACCACTGCATAGCTAAAAATATCAAATATCTTCTTATATAAGAAATAACATTTTTCTAAGCTCTAATAAAACAAATCCTAAGAGAGAGTTGATTACAAAATCAGCTTTAGTGGAAGTTGTGGGTGCTGTGATATTACAAATTTCTTGGCCTCGTCCTGAACCTTGAGGCAAGTGAAAAGGCAGATGGGCGCGTATGCTTAGAGACTGCGCCTCTCATTCACATACAGAAGATGGACATATAGTACTGTTGGGACATGCTGGTGTCTTAGCTTCACCCCACCCCTTCTGGGAAGCACAGGTTCCACAGACTTAAATAAGAGTGGGACGAAGGTGTCATTTACCTGAAATCAACACTTGAGTCATGAAAAGAGCAATTTCAGATTTCTATGAAGGTCCCAGGGAGCCTTCTTGATTTAGAGAATTTGATTCAAAGAGTTTAAAAAAATGAACAAAACCAAGACACTCTCTGGAAAATGGTACAAGTCAACAGTTTTGTTCACTGATGCTTTAGAAAGCAATGGGGGAACACATAGGGTCTACCAAATAACTTGACTCAGTAATTTAACAACAGATGACAATCAATGTCTAAAACTGGGGACCAAATAGCAATGCAAGTAGAACAGAAAGAGTGTATACTGTAATAAATATTATCTCATTGCCCCTCTATACACAAGTTTGGCTACTATAATTCATTCTTATTCTGCTTACAAATGAGGATATAAACTGTGCAAGATTGATTTTAAATACGGTGATTTTTTTCTACTAATGTTCCTATAGGGGAATTTTACATCTATAAAGACTTCCAAAATATATATAACAATTTAAGTCCCAAGGCTTTCTGATCATTTTGTTAAAAAAATTGGGCATAAACAAGTTGACATAAACCTGAACCAATTAGAACAAAGATTGGTGATTTATAATTCTACCACACCAAATGATTTCATCTTAAGCAAGTACATTTTCAGATGTAGGGTGCAAGGCACAGGTCTTTATCAGCAAACATAAAGTACAATTTTGTGGCTTCTGCAACACGTCTTGAACCTATGTTTTTGAGCATTACTGAGGATACAAAACCGAGCCCAAATGCTTGAAGTGGCTGCAGATTCTTTTCCCTTTGGCTGGGGGAACAACAGCTTCTTTTGCAATGGACTTGCTGCCGCCCCGGAAGTCAGCGGAGAGCGCTAACAGCTTTGGTCATCACGGGAAAGAAGACTTGGCCGTGTCACTTCTGAGCTACTCCTAGTGTCTGCTTCATATTTTCATACACCACATAGCTGATGCCAACGGCAGGGAGCACCTTCATGAAGTTTGGGGTGATGCCTCTGTAGAGTCCTGGCACTCCTTCTTTGGAGATGATTCGCTGAAAAAGGCCAACCATGCTCAGCTGCGGGGCCCCTTCCACCATGGCTAGCAGACAGACAGACAAACCAACAAAAAAGATAAATAAAAGGCAGGAACCAGGCCAATCCAATAGTCAAGCATGCCTCATTGTTATCACAGCAGACGACCGGGGATTCAGAATGGTGTCTAGAATACAATGGACCGATAAAAATCAATTTCGAAAACAACCTTCCTGATGCAGCACCCACCAGTGAGGGCACAGCTCTTTAGGAACTGCTGCACTAGGTATTCGATTAATTACTTGCCATGCTAACCCTTCAGGATAAAAATGTACATTTCATAACTAAGGAATTAGAACGTTGGACAGATAGTGAGCCTTGTCCTGAAACCCTAGTTAGCTAGCTGGTAGCAAAACCAAAAAGCTGTGGCTGGTGCTCAAGCCCGACACCTTTAATTAACCGCGTCATTCTATCACAGCACCCTCCCCAAGCGCTGGCTAGAATGCGTACATTTTAGATAATAGGGGAGGGAGGGGTTGGAGAAGTTTAGAAAGGGTGTAGAGACCTGGGCCTTGTAATTATCTCCTGAGGGGAGAGATGAAGAAAAGAGGAGGAGAAAGAGGAGGGGGAGGAGGAGGAAGAAGGAAAGGGAGAGGAGCCAGCTCTGTATTGCTGGTACAACAAAGGACAAAGGCAGGGACGGGCATGGGGGGAGGACCATGGTGGGTTTTAGATGTGATGATTTCCTATAGGGTACTAAGGGGCTGGAGATGCCCACATTGTTGAATAGCTGTTTCCTTCAAATTGAAGCATTCCATTTGGAACCTAGACCACTCCTAAGACAAGGAAGTAAACAAGGCCTGCCCAGCTCAATCAGCTTCTGAAACTAGAATTCCCAGAAGTCCTCCCCACTTCCCAAGGCTATATGAGCAGTTATAACTACTGTGGACAAGAGGTTCCAGCACAGGTTTCTTGCAGGTTATCCAGGGAGCTCTGGGGATTCGGCTTCTGTGGGTGATCACATGCACAGGTTGCAAGGGTGGGGTGGGGCATTGGTTGCATGGGTGGGGTGGGGTGTTGGTGCTGCAGCTGCCTTTGAGCCACTCAAGCCCCTGTGTGTAGCCATCACCCACACTCCAGTCAGAACCCCAGCAAACTCACTGACGTACAACACCAGTCATGGGTGGACCTGTTCCTTTGGTCTGTCCTTGCCCTATCACGGTAAACAGACAGACGTCAGCTCACTCCAGCCTCCACAGGGAAAGTCACACACTGCATAGTGGGGGTAGGGAACAGAGATGGAGTTAAAACTGAGGCAAGATATGATTGCTAAAGACCTCGGAATTCCCGCCAAGAACTTGGGAATTGACACTGGAAACTCTGAAGAGTTACAAAAATGTCTGAAGAGATAAGAAATGAGTGGGCTTTGATGGAAAATGGCAGATCTTGGCAGCTGTGCTGGTCAGGACTGGAGCTAAGAGGAAGGGAGGCTCACCGCGCAGCAGGGTAAACCCCTGAGTGGGACTGAACTCCAGCTCCACTGCCTGTCACGTGCGTAACCTTTACAGACATTCCTTAACTGGTTTTGCCTGCTAGTCATTTGTCAAATGTGGATGATGTTAGTATCAAGTTCCCAAAATGGTCATAATGAGAGACTGTGCACACTTAGTTTGCTATTTCGCATTTCTCTCTGCAGCCATGACTGCCCCTCAGCTCCTCAAATACGCCACTCTGCAAGTCTGTTCCCAGCTAGCTCCCACTGCATTCCTGGGCTTCATCTGGACTTAGGTGTTTTAAAGGGCCATCTTCTGGTTGGATCCATGTCTTTTCCACTCTACAGTGACCTGATTCACACCTGACATGTTGCAGTCTCTAACCCTAGCACCCATCTGACAGTGTGCCTGGTCCCAGTGATGCCAAACAACATGTTGACAAGTGACTGACTGTTTGGTTAAAGGAGTGGTTGGGAATGGGACCACAGCTGCCCAGCACTCATAAGAGAAAGTACAGTCGATGAAGGTGACCAAGGGATAAAGAGAACAGAAAAGAAAGACAAAGAGTGTTGCATGCTTTCAAAGAGTAGGTAGCAATAAATACCAGCAAACAGCAAGAAGACAGTAGTCACTGAGTGACAGGAGAGTCAGGCTACTGCAGCTGAGGAACCAGCAGAGAGAAGGCTCACCGCAAAGCTTAGGGTCTGAACAGCAAATGCCAAATCCTTTACACGTGCTATTACTAATTCTTTTCATCTCTATTCATGGAAGACAAAATGAAGAGAGAGAGAGAGAGGAAGGGAGGGAGGGAGGGAGGGAGGGAGGGAGGGAGGGAGAGATCTGAGCATGTGAGTGACATGAAATGTCATCACAGCCATCCTGGAACCCAGACTCACCTTGTGCCTGCATGCGAGTCCTCACCAAAGCCAGGGGGTAACTGGCCAGTTGCCCGCAGGTGCTGGACAGAGCCCCACAGCTCAGCAGTACCACCACACCAGGGTTGACAGAGTCTTTGGCAAAGTTATCCAGCCAATAAGTCTTCAAAAGCTGCCCCCAAAACAAAGAAAACAATCAACAAAGGAGATACTCAGCCATCGCTCGCTCAACATTATCGTCTTCAGGGCTGTTTCATAGAGTCAATTCTAAAAGTAAAATATTTTAAGCAGAATATACATGCTAATACATAAAAGCCCTACATACCTAGTTGTGCTGGTTTGAATGAGAATGCCCCTGTGGTGGTTTGAATAGGGATGGCCCCCATAGACTTGTGTGTTAGAATGCTTGGCCCCCAGGGAGCGGCACTATTGGAAGGTGTGGCCTTGAGCTGGAAGAAGTGTGTCACTGTTGGTGGTGGGCTCGGAGATCTCAGAAGCTCGTTAGTCTCCTCCTACGCCTGTGTATCAAACATAGAACTCTCAGCTCCTTCTCTAGCACTGTGTCTGCCTCACCAAACCCTTGGGTTCTTAAAAGTCCCAAGGCCTTCTTTCAACCCAGCATCTAATGCAATGGCTTGAATATGGTGTGTGTTCAGTACATGTTTCTCAGATTCCTAAGGTATTAAGTGACCCATGTGGCAGGGATGACCTGAATGGCAGGTGATTCGTATTCATATATTGATTGCCTGAGCTGTCTGAGTTGTCTTGAGCTCAAGTCTCCACAGGCAAGCTTCACTTTATAGACTGAGCTGCCTTCCCCAGCCCCGACCTCCAGCCCTAAGGGCTGTTAAATGACAGGGGACGGAGCTGTGGGATCCACACCACTCCCCTGGGCTTCGTCAGTGCCAGGTGGTAGTAATTCTAATAAGTTTCTGCTTGTTTTTCTCTGTGCCTCCCCATCCATCGGGCCATCTTCTAAGCTGCATTTGAGCACAGACTCTTTATTAACAAAAGTAAATATGCAAGGAAATCTAATACAAAAAAAAAAAAAAAAGAGGCTCAACACATTTGTGATCTCACAATCGGGGTGCTGGAAAGATGGAAGAACACCCCTGTAGGAGTCCAGTCACAAACAGTTCTGCTGGCCACCGGCCAGCCAGCTTGCAGACTACCTACCCTGCAGCCCGAAGCATGCTGTGCCCTCACTCACCTCATACACAGCGAGATCGATGCCTGCATAAGGAATGATGCCCAGTAAGTTGGGCACATAGCCTTTGTAGAAAGCCCCAAAGCCTTCCTGTTTCAAAATATTCTTAGCACATCCATATATTCCAGAGTATTGTCCGGTTTTGGCTACCGCTAGCCGGGTTTTCAGAACCTAGAGACCAAAGAATGCAACACAATTTAACTCACATTTAACACGGGAAAATTCAAAAGTATTGATTTCATGAAGCACCAGCAAATTCTCTCTCAAGAGAACGTCCAGTTCATTGACAGAGTCTCCCTCGTGTGTTACTTCCACTGAGAAGCTAAAATCAGAGCCAGAAAGGGCCAGTTATTTCAAAGAGAGTCTGAAGGAGGGCTTTGCAGATATAGATAGATAGATGATAGATAGATAGATAGATAGATAGATAGATAGATAGATAGATAGATAGATGATGGATAGATAGAAAGGTAGAGGATGGATGGATAGATAGATAGATAGATAGATAGATAGATAGATAGATAGATATAAACATTTTTAAAATGTAGACCAGATAATTTTTTTATTATTAATTATGAAAGCTTAGGCTTGTTTCCAACTAGCTTAGAACTTAAATTAACCTGTTTCTATTAATCTACATTTGGCCACGTAGCTTTTGACCTCTCCATCTGTATGTCTGACTCCTCAGTGTCTTGCTGGTGCCTAATTTCTAGCCCTGAGTTCCTCCTCCCCCTTCCCCCCCCCCCCCGGCCGGGAAGTTCTGCCTATTCTCTCCTGTCTAGCTACAGGCCATTTAGCTCTTTGTCAGATAATCTTTTTGATGTCATAATAAAATTAATTGGCAAGGAAGGTGAAAAAGTGGCAGCATAGGGGACAATTCCATCGTCTTCAGCTTGGAGCACAGGCTGGGGAGGTGGAGGGTGGGGAAGGTGACAGTATTAGTTGAAATGAGGGGTGTGTGGGTAGAGGCTCAGAAGTAGGGCAATCTACAAAGCACTTGGGGCACAAGCATGTGGAGTTGAGTTTGACACCCACAAAAGTCACATCAGATCCTGGCATGGGAGTGGATGCCTGTGGCCCCTGGGGAGGGAAGACAGACAGCTCTCTGGGGCTTGCTGGCTAGCCAGCCGAGCCTACAATGGTGAACTCAGGCCAGTGAAGAGACCCAGTCTCAAAATACAAGGGACACCGTGCCTCCTGATCAATGATACCCAGGGTTGACCTCTGACCTCCACAGGCACACACACACACATGTGCACCCACACAAACATGTGTGCATGCACAAGTTTATTGGCATGCCTATCACAGATCCACAGAGCCGGGCCTCAGCGGTACTTGCCTCCATGGGATAAATAAAAGTCTGCGCAGTTGCTCCAGCCATGGAACCAGAAACAAACCGCTCAAAGGTTCCTAACTTTTGTCCTTCCCCAGTCAGCAACTTCTTGTACTGTAAAAAGGAAGTTTTAAGATGAGCATTAATAGCGACTTTACGGTAACTCCCCCTCCCAAATTCTTCTATTGAACCCAAACCTCCACTGTGACAGTGTTAGGAGACGGGGACTTTGAGGACAATTTTGATTAGAAAGAGGTTCTAAGACCTCAGGAGAGAATAGCATCCTTCTCAGAAGGGACAGCTGACAGCTCACACTCTGCCAAACCAGGCACCGAGGCCGTATGTCTATGGAGCAAGAAGACAGGAAGCGCAGCTCCGCTGCCTGGCCCTTGATCCGATAGTGCTTAAACTTGAGAGCTGTGAGGAACACACTTCTGTTGTTAAACCACACCTTAGATGGTATTTTACGGTGGTGAGGCACAAATCAGATCCTAGAAATCAATTCACTTACAGTGCAATGAGATGCCTCGAGACGCATCCTCTACGTTAACAATCCTAGCAGAAACGTGGGGCTTAAATTGCTGATTTTGTTTCCCGGGAAGCAGGGTTTCGAATTAGATCATCACACAGGTGACACTATAGCTCAGGGACCAAGTTCTTGCCTGACATGTGTAGCAGCCCTAAGTTCAAATTCCAGCATCATTATAAAGAGAGAGGGGAGGGGAAGGGAGGGGTGAGCCTGTCGAAGCAGCCAGGTTAAGAGTCGGATGAATGGTACCAAGTGTGCTGTGTGGGGGCTTTCAGACACACTGAACTTCCTCATATTGAAATATCGGCATTATTTTTGAATATGCATGTTAGGCTCTGGCTTTCCTATCATAAAATTAATCATAATTTGAATGTTCAGGCATTTTAATTAGGAAAAATCTCTTTCCCCAGAATGGGCTCCACATAAAGTCCTGAGGTCAACTGCTCTTTGCTTTCTCTATTTCAAAAGTCAAGGAATGGACACCACAAGCCTTGGTCATTTCAAAAGGGAATAGAATTGAACTTATTCAAACAAGAAACCAGGGTGTGGTATTAAACTCTAAGGTTCATATAGGCCATGGTAAACCGTAACAGAAGAAATGACAGAAGAAAAATAAGTGTGCAGCCGTTTCAGTGGTCCTGCTAATAGCCGCAGAAGCCGACCTCCAAACCCAGTGCTGTGCTTCAATCTGGTCCACAAGAGAGGGAGGCAAATGCCTCATTTGCTGTCTCCTGCATCCACTCAACAAACACTCAGCACTTCACCTGTGCTGGGCTCTGCCTGGGTGCTGGAGGGCAGGGAAAAGCCAGACCCCTGCCTTCATGGAATTTTCAAGCTAAGTACAATTCCATTGACACAAAGGGATTCATCTGAACAGTTTTCTTTCCAGGGGAACTTTTGTAAAACTTGGGTGAAGTGCCCTGTGTCCACTAGCACTCAAGATGAGTCGGCTAAGTCATGCTTTGAAGAACTACTTAGAAAAGCGGGGTGGGGATGGGGGAGCCTCCCTCTATAAATGGTATTATGGAATCCAAGATTCCAGAATTCAGCTCTGTGGAAGCATTGAGTTTATTGAGTCCTAGTCTCCCAGAAGGAATTTTCTCATGGAATATTAGGAATAAAGACCCAGAGCGCTGCGTGCTGATCTTTAACTGAATCAGATAGCTAACTTCTTTTGTTAATGATCTCCACAGGTGATAACAATTACCTGTTCATAAGCCCAGAACTTAACAGCTGTCTCAGGAGCGATTTTAATGACATTTGTGCCATTTCCTCTCCAAAGGGAACGGATTCCTCCTTCCTTTACCATCTGCCGAAAGCCTCCTAATATATTCATTGATTTGGAACCATGAACCTAGAAATAAAAGCAAAGCGTCATGGGATAGTTCTGCATATTGTTGAAAGTAGGTCTGAGCTGAGTGCAAACACCGGATCCTGGATGCTAAAGCCTCCTCCAGAGAGCATCTCTGATGAGCTGCAGTGTGTTCTGCTCATTGTGGCCACACATGAAAACCAGGAAAGAAAGGCATTCGAGCTGCACAGGGCACAGACAGAAGCAGATCTACACTGGGAACTTTCCTTGGCTCAGCCCTCTGCACTTCCTTCCCTTGGTTAATTTGAATCCGTATTTCTTCCCATAATAAACCACGACCATGAGTCTGTATTTTTATGAGACCGTCTACTATCAAACCTGAAGGAGACTTTGGAGGGACCTTCAAATGTGTAGAATCTTAACAATCTTAACAAAGCCACTTTATTTTAAATAACAAACTTCATAATAACATATGACAAAGGAAAACATGTGTGCCCATTCAAGCTTTCTCAATAAAAAAAAAATCTCTTTTATCCAAACAATTTAAAAATAAGAAAGTGTTGACTATATATAGTCAATCATAAAAAGCACAACTTTAAAAACATTTTTAAGGAACTGCAGAAATGGCTCAGTGCCTAAGAGCACAGGCTGCTCTTGCAGAGGACACAGGTTTGATCCCCAGTATCTCCATCAGAGCTTACAGCCGTGAGTAACGCCGGTTCCAGGGAATCTGGCACCTTCTTCTGGGATCTGTGGGCTCTGCATGCACGTGACACACATGCATAGATCCAGGCAAAACATCCATACACATAAAATAAAAACATATTTAAGCAACTGCTAATATCTTCTACACTATTCCTGTATGCCGGTGTTTACATAAGTCAAACTTTAGAGCCGTCCTTGGTAGGTACTCTGACTACCGTTACGGTATGGAGAAAACATGAGATCTCAGAAGTCAAATGCAGGGTTAGAACCAAAGGCTCTGGAGGTGAAGCTACTTCCTGCCTCATCTACTCTTCTTCATAAAGGAAACTTTGGTTCTTGCAGCCTCAGCTTCCTTACACATACATGGAGGTAAACCAGCTGCTTTCCCGAGCTCCGTGGATATGGAATGGGTTGCCATGCTGTGCACAAATAGATATTCTTCCTTCTCTCTCCAACACCAGCGGGCAGCCAGGCCTGTCTAGAAACCCAGGTCTTTTCTGCTAACCTTAGCTCTAGAATCACTTCTGAAATTATATTCTCATCACCAAGATTCAGGACTTGAGAAATCCTCTTTCTCAAGTCTTAAAATCAAAGAAAATATAATTTGATGAGAACCCTACAATAGCATCGAGGTTTTGTTTTTGGTTTTTAGCTAAACATTTGAAGTCACAGAATACCAAAGACTAAGATTTCATTACACACAAGTACTAACAAGTTACAATTTAATGGAACAGTACCAAATACTTAGACAAGTGGCTAATATGAAGGTTAACGGTAGAAGAATATCATTTTTCAAGATACGAAGAACTGTAACTAGACACAGTATGCTTTGGTTACAGCCTGGCACGTGGCATGGCTCACCTGCATCATGACCTTGAGACGATCCAAAGGTGCTGTGCTCGTTCTAGAGACCGCGCCAGCCACACCTCCGGCCAGCAGCTGCCGCCACCACTGTCCTGATTTTTTCTCATCTTCTGTGAATTCATCCGGAATAGTTAAGCTATCCCCTATGTCGATGCCCTGGTAAAAATGGAAAGAGATCCCACAGTCCTTCAGACACAAACAGATAAGCCCAGAACTTTCCTTTTGTGTAGGAGCTATGACTGTATTGATCGAGGTTTTCCCTTGGGATTGACAGCGAACCAATCGGAGCACGCATGCATGAGCATCTAGTCACACGGAATGTCACGCAGAATCGACACACAAAGTCACAACTTCCTCCTTTTTTCAGATCAGGCAACTTTCACTGGACTGAATGGCAATGAAAGGGGAATGTTTTACCACAGTTAGTCCTTGCCAGTCACTTGTCGCAATGCTAGAAAGCCACACCGTTGGTGGCAGCTTTGAAAAACTACTTAGCCCGTACTTCAGACACCATTTGTCTTAAGCCGCATTACACTCTGTGCCGTGAAGTATATATAATTTAAACAGGAAAAAAAAAATTTTTTTTTGATTTTTCGAGACAGGGTTTCTCTGTGGTTTTGGAGCCTGTCCTGGAACTAGCTCTTGTAGACCAGGCTGGTCTCGAACTCACAGAGATCCTCCTGCCTCTGCCTCCCAAGTGCTGGGATTAAAGGCGTGCGCCACCACCGCCCGGCTAAACAGGAAAATTTTACAATTAAACCTCGCACATAAATAGCTCTACGCTCATCATCTATATAGCCTGAGGACAGTTTTATCACTATGACACTTTTAACTTAATTATCTAAATGCTGCCATGGGTATAACTAGGTCATAGAGCACTTTCTTAGCATGCTGAGGTTCCAGCATCACACACAAAACATGACTTTGACATAAAACTTTATGGGCAAGAATGAAAGGTAATGAGCCGTACTTTGGGAGTAATGTTCTCTTCTTCGTTACCAATAAAATTTATTTATGATTATAGCGTCAAATATTATCAACTATCCCCAAAGGTATAATACAAAGTTCACACAGCATAAAATGTATACTCATAACTGATTTTTATAATGCTCTGTATAAGCTTAGGCATTGTTAGTGGTGACAATGTGAACCCTAGGTGTACTGAGAGAGGGTCAAAGGTACTTCTCCCCAAGTACAGAAGAGAAGTCCACATGCTGAATGGTGGGAGATCCTGCAGAAGGTTCCCCAAGGGCTTCGAGGAGCAGACGGTACAGCAGAAGCTAACTTACACCAATACATTTTATCGGATTGTGAATGAAACAATCACAGGGGAATTTTGTGAAGTGTGCACTGGCAGGAAATGCCAAGCACGTGAGTCAAAATGATTCTCCAGCATTCAGTGGGCATTGCAGTCCCTTAGCACAGCCATAAATCTAGGCAGCCTGGCTAAACAAGCAGTTTCGGGAGGGACCCGAAGCCATGTCATCTTTAGCAATATGGAAGTACAGAGATGGTTGGGTAGTACATGTTTTCTGACTTTAAGACTTCCCTATGGCAGAAGCATTAAATGCCAATGCAGTAAGAGCAGCTAGCTCATCGAGATGGGACTTCTTCCAAGTTTTGAGAGGAGCTGTATTTATGCCACCTTGGGGGCTTTAAAGATGCTCCATTAATCTGTGCCTAGAAGAATCAGCAGATCTAGAAGTTAAATATCGACTGGGACTTTCTTGGACGTGACCACCCTTTCCAGGATATTACGGTGTTTGGGGGGAGTAATTGTTGGGAACCAGAGCTCCGTTAAGCATAAGGGGCTGCAAAGACTGACAGGCTGCACAGAACTTAGTGAGCAGGGCCAACCTATCTCAACTACCTTTATTCTCCTGAATATGTGTTTTTGCCCACCTCTGTTTGTGACCTAACATCCTTGTGTATTAGGTAAACCCTTTGGAAGGTTTGAACAGACCTCCTAGATTCCACCAGCTCAAGGCTAGGATCACACAGCCTCTGAGGACCATAGCAGACTGTCCCTCCTTTGTTATAGGCCATCTGTCTGACGTTTCCACCAAAGTGTTTGAAAAGCATCTTGATTTATGATTTTCTTCGCTGCATTACTGCAAAAAAAAAGCCTCATGAAACTATTTTCATGTTAGAGCACTGAATTTTGGGTAACCTGAGTCTATGTTCCCAGGCCAGGGGCCCTCATTCAGATACAAAATAAATTATCTCTTTGTCTCTTTTGAGGTGGAGCTGTGTTTCCTGCATCGACATTATACCTATGCTTTAGAGCTACAGAAACAGAAAGCAAACTTACAGTAGAGTGTTTCCAGAAACGGATAATTTCTTCAATGTCTGTAACAGGGTTAAATAAGAAGTAGTCTCTCCATTCATTCCAGTCCACTGTCATTGTCCCATCAGAGTCGATGCTGAAGGTTTAAACAGGTGGTTAAAGAACAAGAAATGGACACCGCTAACATGATTGCTCATTTTACAGAGTGAAATTTTGCCTCCCAGATTTATATTCTTAAGAATTTTTAAAATACGTTGGCAGGTTTAAAGGGTTTAGCAACAGACCATTCGGTTAGCAGGCATGCAGCCCTGGAAAAAGAAAACCACATCACTCACAGTGACTTATGCGTTTTTTCCTCTCACAAGCTCAGGGAATTATTTCTTAATACCCTAAGACTGAAACACTTGGGTACAATTTTTGAAATAGCTTCTAAATATGCTCTCAATTTTCTTCTCCAATTTTCATCAGTGTAAGAAAATTAGCAGTGGTTCTAAGAAACCAAAATCTTATTCCTGGTTATTTGAGTTTCCAGAAATCCTGGTATCTCATCAATTCTAAACTCAGCATTGTGTCATCTTACACGTGTAAGCGGTAATACTTTGTGGGGTGTGTGTGTGTGTGTGTGTGTGTGTGTGTGTGTGTGTGTGTGTGTGGTTAAAGCTTCTGGGCAGAAAGCCCATTCTATGAGATTTTCCTAAGAACAATACAAAATCATACTGGGCTTTATTTCGTTATTGCGTTGTTCAATACAGATAGTTACTAAAGTGGTAGGTGCAAGGCGCTTCTTTATGTATTGAACTAACATGTCCGAAGAAATATTTTAGTGTTTCCTCAGATATTATGCTATAATTTACATGACAGTGACACATGCAAGCGGCATACAAATAAAATACAATTTTCTGATATTTATTATTATGTTCTCAGTACTAATGTTAATTCCCATATGTCTCTGTGAGATTACACTTCAGCTTACTTGCCCCAGTGCGGAGGTGTCGATGCTCCATAGTCACTAGGAATCCTAGTCACCGCTGTGTTTAAACTGCGTCCTGGGTTGCAGTATTAGCAGCTCTCGTTTTATCGATATTTTCTGGTTTTGTGCAGTGATTTAGCATTTAACCATAACCCTTAACTTCCCTCTCATGAGCATGCTCTACGCGGCAAGTGTCACCTTAGAAACAGTCCACAATTTTTGTTCTGTTTTGTGTTTTGAGATAGTGTAGCCCTGGCTGCCCTGGAATGCACTCTGTAGACCAGGCTGGCCACAAACCCTCAGAGATCCCCCTGCCTCTGCTTCCCAAGTGCCGAGATAAAGGGTGTGCGCCAGTGCACCAACACTGCTGTCGTCCCACAACTTTACTGAATTTGCACTCTGCCCCATGCTGTGGGAAAGGCGTGTGTCCACAGGTGGTGCTCTGTTGTGCAGCACACAAGCTGAGTGTTGGTGCATTTGCATCTCTTGTAGACCTGGGCTGAGAATTTGCTTTATTCCTAATGCTGTCAAAGGGAATACAAGAAAAATGATATTTGGCCTTAAATGAGAGAAGATAAAATCTACACTTTGCTAAGAGTTTGTCAGTTTTCTTTGCCTTTTCAAAGAATTAATTCTTTGTTTCGCTACGACACAAAAATTCCCCATGAACTATTGCATGGAAACTGGGGGTGATTACATATTTGAAAGATTATGGACTGTGATGAAGTGAGTTTTGTTTCAAAGATGTAAGAAGCAGGCTGGACAGAAGACTCAGGAGTTAAAAGCACTGGCTGCTCTTGCAAAGGCTCTGAGTTCAATCCAGCACCTACATGGCGGCTCACAACCGTATGTAACTGCAGTTCCAGGGGATCTGATGCCCTGTTCTCACCTCCATGGGCACTGCATGCACATGGAACACACATACACACACACACACACACACACACGCACACACACACACACACACATACACACACGCGCGCACATGCCAGCAAAACATCCATACACATAAAATAATGTTTTAAAAGAACTGTTCAACACACACAAGCAAATAAAGTAATACAGCACATAATAGAACTAGAACCAAGGACAGAAATCACATGATCATCTCAATAGATACAGGGGGAGAAAGTAGTTTGATAAATTTTACATCTCTCTATGTTAAAAGTCCCGAAAAAGCCAGTGGCAGAAGGGTCATATGTCAACACTATAAAAGCTACATGTGAAAAACATATAGCTATATGTTGAATGGGGTAAAATGAAAGAATTGCCTCTAAAATGTGGAGCAGTCTAAGGTGTCCAGTATTTCCACTCTTGTTTAATACAGTGACTGAAGTCTTAAGACGAGTCATAAGACAAAGGAAAGAAATCAAAGAGATACAAATAAAAAAGGGAACAGATCAAATTACCCTTGTTTTCAGATAATAGGATCCTATATTTAAAAGACCCTAAAGATTCTAGCAGAAAACTCTTAGGTCTGGGGACACTTTTAATAGATTAGTGGGATACAAAACTGGCATGTAACAGCCAGCAGCTTTTCTACAGACCAATAACAAGCATACTCAGAAGGAAAACCATCTTGTTCACAGCAGCTGCAACTGCATAAATAATAAATATTAGGAATAAGCCTAATCAAGAAAGTGAAAAATCTCCCTAACGAAAGTTTTATATACATAATACTAGAAAAAGAAATAGATAACAGTAAAAGATGGAGAGAGCTTCCAAGCCTGGGGATTGATTGGCAGAATTACTATTGCTCAAATGACCATATTACTAAAAACAATCTACGGATTCAGTGTGATCCCTTTGCAAAACTCTAATGACATTCCTCCCAGAACTCGAGGAAACAATCTTAAAATTCATATAAAAGCACAGAAGACCCCCAAATAGCTAAACCAATTCTGAGCAGAGTAATGCTGGAGGTACCCCCCATAACCTGATTTTAATTATTCTACGAAGCCATAGCAACAACAGTAGCAGAGGACTAACTCAAACACAGACGCTTAAATAAAGGCACTAGAGCAGAGTGCCTAGAAATAAGCCCACTCGACCACAGATTCCTGATTCTTCTCAAAAGGCCACCTCCTCAACACAATAAATAAATGAGAGAGAATTAAACACCCTCCATAAAAACCTCCACAAACAGTCTAATCATTAAGTGGACGAATGAGTTGTACAGTTCTCAAAAGAGGCATAAATGGATGGTAAACATATGAAAATTGTTAAACAGTCCCTAGCCATCAGGGAAATAAGAATTAAAAGTGCTCTGATGTCCCACCTGACCCCATTCCAAATGACTCACGTCCAGACAGCAGGAACAGCGGGTGCAGGAGGGAAAGGGAAACTTTACACTATTGATGAGAGTGGAAATTAGCGCAGCCGCCGTGGAAATCAGCACCGAGATCCCTCCAGAAACCAAAACTAGAACTGGCACATGAGCCTCTACCGTTCCACTTCTGGGAATGTACCCCAAGGGTGCTAAGCCTGTACACCTCAGAGGTACGTGTGTCTACTGCTGCTCTACTCACAGCTGCCAAGACATGGAATCAGCCTAGATGCCCATCAACAGGTGAAGGGGAGCGCGCGCACACACACACACACACGCACACACACGCACACGCACACCAGAATCGACCACCATTAAAAAAAAAAATTCTGTCGTTTGCAGGGAAGTGGATGGAACTGGAGACGGTCGTGATAAGAAGTACGGCAGGCTCAGAAAAACAAATATTACAAGTTTTCTTTCATGTAGAATCAAAATCCATTTTAAAGATGTAAGTAGAAGGGGCGCTATTTGGGTGAAGGAGGGCAGCGGGAGGGAATCGGGATGAGAGCAGATGGGAGAGAGACGAATGAGTTGGGGAGATAGTTCAGTGGTTAAAAGCGCCGTGTTCTTCCAGAGGACCTGGGCTCAGGACCCAGCCCACACCAGGTGGCTCACAGCTGTCAGTTACTGAACAGCATTGCTGGCTGGTCAGAGGTCGCAGCCTCCCGGTGGCTTGGCAGCAGCTTATCTCAACAGCTCAACAACAGGGAACTCCTCCCTGCTTCCTGCTTTCTACCTGCACTTATCTGGAGAATGTCCCCCGGCCTGGAGGACTGGCTTATCTAAAAGCTGTCTCTAAACCAGCTGCCTGATTCATCTTTAGCTTGATCTCTGGCACAGATCCCTGCCGAGACTTGTGCTAGGGGCTCTGCCATAGGACCCTGCTGCCGCATAGGAGGCCTTGTGGGAGGAGTGTGCCACTAATGCAAATTAGGATCTGTCTACAGATTCCACATACTACTTATACTCTGGGATGAAATTGAGCTGAGTCACTGAAATCTGTCTCCCGGAGAGCTGTCTCCATTCATGCTCACGGGCTGACAAAGCTTTCTGTCCTCCATCTGCCTCTTTCCCCTCTCGGCCTGTTCCAGGGGACCTGACACCTTTCTGTACTCCACAGGCACAAGATATGCAAGTCACACACACACACACACAGAGGCAGATGCAGACAAAACACCAATTACACACAAAATAAAGTAAATGTTTAAAGCAACACCAAAACCCCTTAGTTCCTATCTCTAGACACAAGAATCGCTGCTGTCCTCGTGCTCCCGAAGCCTTGCAACAACCAGCTAGTCCAGTTTAAGCACCCCTCTGCCATCCCTGCACTGCAGATAGTGTGTTTACATAGGAACAAAATGGGAACGGAGGAAGGAAAGACAGTACGTGAAGGTAATGAGGTACGCTGAGACGCAGGCAGGCAGTCGGAAGGGCCCATAGAGACCAGCATGGAAGACGAGATGTAAAAGAAGTTTGTCAGTTTGACGGAGAACTCACCTTTGGAGAATCAGCTCTGCTTGCTTTTCAGAAATATGCAAACCCAGCATCTGGAGAGACTGGACAATTTCGGAAGGCTCGATTTTCCCTTCAAACAATAAAAACAGTGTCAGGTTAGGCTCGGAGTCTGAGAACACTTCTGAACCATGCCAGCAAAGCTAAGCATTCAGGCAAGCCAGCGATCTTCTTAAATGCATATTGTGGCATCGGCACTCAAATTGTTCACAGATACCTTAAAATGCACACATACTGTTTGATTCATAAGCCTAGTGGATAAAGAGTGATATTCCTCCAAGTGTAGGCCAAAAGCTCCCATCCTTGCTGGGTGATGAGAGTGAGGAGCAGTAGGAGGGGATCTAAATCCTGACCGTCTACAAGACAAACGCCATTAAACCAGGCACTGCTCATTTAAAAGTGCCCATATCCGCATTTTAATAAGTAAAGGGGCATTTAATTAATGAGGAGTCACATGTGACCAAGTAAAAGAGAGCAAGAAATAAGGAATTGAACCAAAGAACACAGACTTCTGAGAAATCTCAGTGAAAAAAGACAATGAGGAGAGAAAAGCAATGGAAGAGAGAGAAAAATAATGCAAGGGGAGTCTGAAGACTCTGCAGACGGAACAAACTAGGGAAAAGCGGAAGAGAGGAAACAACACACCATGAACACAAGCGCCCCTGCTTTCCCCTCAAGGGGCTCACATACTTGTGAGGCCTGACAGGGCTGGGACCGTGCACAGTAAGAGGTTCTGCAACCACGCAGTGTGGACGGCAAGCTCCTCAGGGAAAAGGGACACACAAGGGACATGGGGAAGGAAGACATCCTCTGAGTGAGGAACCTAAAGAAGTGACAGGATGCTGAAGGAAACCTTTCACTCAGAGAAAGGACAATGGCAGGAGACTCTGGACAATGGTGGGAGGGGGGCAGAGGGGACATCATTTCAAAGGTGAAGTGCTTCGTATCCCTCCCAGCAGTCTCCTAGGCCATATAGTCTTCTTCTTCTTCTTCTTCTTCTTCTTCTTCTTCTTCTTCTTCTTCTTCTTCTTCTTCTTCTTCTTCTCCTTCTCCTTCTCCTTCTCCTTCTCCTTCTCCTTCTCCTTCTCCTCCTCCTCCTTCTTCTTCTTCATCTTCTTCTTTGTCTTCTTCGTCTTCTTCTTCCTCTCTCTCTCTCTCTCTCTCTCTCTCTCTCTCTCTCTCTCTCTCTCTCTCTCTTTCTCTTTTATCTTCCTATTTTGAGTACCCATAAGTTTTTATTCTCCCAGGAAAGAAGGGAAGGGAAAATCAGCACTCTTACAAAATGATTATACAATAGGAATATAAGTACTCAGGTACACTAAAAATCAACCATGAAATAAACACCCCAGTGGTGGGCCCACGAAAGCCCAAGGGGGCTCAGTCTCCTGCAGTTCAGGACAGAGTAAGGATTGGGGGAAGGACAGACTCCCCCCCCATAAATTCAAGACTTCTCACAAAGCTTTAGTTTCTAGCAGTAAACATAGAGTTACATCTGTACGCCTCCTAGTAACCATCTCGTGGCCACTTTGACAAACTTCTTGTACCGGTATTAAGTTCCTGAGTGACCTGACTTATACATTCATATTTCCTTTTCTGGTCTTCAGACAGAAGGCCCCACCATTGCTTCTCTCTACCTAAGGGCTAAAGATTAAGTTGGTTTAAACCATCCAAAGGCAAATCACACCAAGAAATGGTCTCGCCAGGGGGAAGTGGCCCACCTGTGATCCCTGCATGGAGGAGCTGAAAGCAGGAGGATAGCCAAGAATCTGAGGCTAACCTGGGCTGCACTCTTGAAAGACTCAGTGGTCCACTGCGCAGCGGCTGTGTTCTGTGAAGTTACTGCAGACACGGAATTAGCAAACATGAAACCACTGATCCTGCAGGGGATTTGGGTGCAGTTCCTGAGAGACTCTGTCACGGCACTGTCATCCACTGGCCTAAGGTTGCCTCGTGTTTGTCCGGACACCTCATGACTGTGCGCTGTTCATTCACTGACACTGAACCCTTGGAAAATGGTTCTAAGAAATCTACATTCTGCATGGCACACCCCATGGCACTCTTGGACTTGGACTAGCACCATGTATGGGGAACATTTTATAAAGTAAAATTATCCGCCAAACGATGTACAAAGATGCAAGCAAAATGCAAAAAACAGATCTTGAAAAAGACAGTTGCTTACAGTCTGAGAGTTAAAATGAAGAATGTCACCTTATGTTTCAAAAATCAAGAATATCACTTTATCCTTATTATGTCTCAACTAAAAATATCTATGTTCAATGATTCCAAGTTTTTGCTCTTCTCTGCATGGCCATGAACAACTGGAATACACATCTTTGGATTAATTCTGAGGCTAAATTTTAGCAAGTAGTAATATTCACCAGTACAAAATCCACAAATAATGAGAAAATAGACTACATATGTTTATGTTAAGGGATCCTTATAAACAAAAACATGAGCCTATAATGGTAAATTGTTTGAAAATATATATGAAGTCATAAGTGGAGGGGGAGCTGTCTACATTTATGAAATATGTATTGCTAAAATTTCACCTCTATTTCCGATGGTTTGATTCTAGTTTTCTGGAGAGGACAATTTATGTACTAGGTGGCTGATGTGGGAAGTCCTTCTGTGTATGTGTTGCCTTAATTGGTTAATGAATAAAGCTGCTTTGGCCAATGGTAGAACAGAATATAGCCAGGCTGGAAGGGATATATAGAAAGAGTAGGTGGAGTCAGAGAGATGCCATGTAGCTGCCAAAGGAGAAAGACGCTGGGCTGGAAACTTACTCGTGGCCATACACAGATTAAAAGAAATGGGTTAATTTAAGATGTAAGAGCTAGCTATAAAGACACCAAAGCTATTGGCCAAGCAGTGTTGCAATCAATATAGTTTCTGTGTGATTATTCCGGTCTGGGCAGCCAGGAGACAAAAGAGCACCTGTCACAAAGTAGCTGGTCCTAAGATTGTTAACAAGACACAGACAACACTGTCTCTGCCACTGGACTGCAGAGGATCCAGGTCAGCATAGAAGTCTACATGCATGAAAGAGAGTTCATTTGAAAAACTGGATTTGCCCGAGGATTGACCTCGGGCTTGAGGGCAATATACATAATGCAAGGTTTATTGGCAGCTACAGCCCCCACCTCCACTACACACTGAGCTCTTAGCTGCTGTGAGCCATCAGCAAAACCATCTATAAGGTTTGGCTATTTGAAGGAATTTGATTTTAAGTTAATGTTCAGTCTAAATCATTAGCTAGTGCATCACAACTGTCGAATCCAATAAGGTCTGTTGACTTTCTAAACCAAGTTTTATTTGAACACAACCATATAATTTGCCTACATATTGTCTTTGGCTGAGACACAGCCACAACTCAGACTACATAACCCACATAATTAAAATACCTATAACCTAGATTTTTATTGAAAGGTTTTATACCAACCCTTGAAAAGAACGATACTTTTTTCAATCTATTATTCAACTTCTTTCTTGACTAACAAGTCTGTGAATTGAGCCCTTCATTAGGGGTCGGGAAAGGTTTAGAGCTGCAATTGTAATCTGTTTGAATTTATCCTTCCTGTCAATGGTTGCCTCCGGACATGGGTCTGGTGTTTTTCCACTGCTGATTTTCTTCCTACTTACCTGGGACTCTATTCCCAAACTACTACTTTAAGCAAGGCAACACCATCCTGGCCAGAAGGTAAAGACTAATGCTGAGCTATTCTCATTTTTAGGATCAGACACTATCTAAATGAATCTTTCAAAGAGATTATAAAATGTAAGATGAATTTTTATTATTTTACAATACACAAGTCATGCCTGTATGTGGAAAAATAAATACCTCTTATTGGAAGAACAATAAATAATTATTATTTTGAGCTACAACTTTAAGTGAAGTGAGCATGATCTCAATGGTTAATACTGTATGGCAATTTTTAATTCAACAGAAAAAAGCTACTATAAATTTTCTTCACGAAAAATATGGTCTCAAGGCTGGAGAGATGTCTCAGTGATTAAGAGCGTTCAGTGCTCTCACAGAGGACCCAAGTTCAGTCCCCAGCACACATGCTGGCTGGCTCAGAACTACCTATAACTACATCTCCAAGGGGTCTGCAGGCACCTGTACTCATGTGCAATAATTCTATACACGCGTGTGCGTGCATGCGTGCGCGCACACACACACGTACAACTAAAATAAAATCTTAAAAAAATAAATGAATAAAAACATGATCTCTCAATCACATTAACAAAATAAATGCTAACACGAATAACAGTCATCTGGAAAGAATATATCTTAGACGTGGAAAACGTAAAGGCGACTTTGCATAAGAAGTGACAATGGGACATACCATCATTATTCTTGTCCAAACTTTTAAATGCCAACTTCATTTTCTTCTCATGGTCTTTCAGATATTTCATAAATTCTTCAAAATCCAGCTTTCCATCTTTGTTGATGTCACCAGTAACAAAAATTTTCTACAGAGAGAGAGAGAGAGAGAGAGAGAGAGAGAGAGAGAGAGAGAGAGAGAGAGATCTTATTGTTAGCATGGGCTAAAGTAAAGACTAACTGTGTATTGACTTCCAGTTTGGGCCAGCTGTGTTAGTATCCAATATGGCATAGCTCCGCAACCCTTCCTGTGGTTAAGATTCCCAGAGTTTCACAAGCAGCTGGTGGTGCCAATTTAATAATTACACGAAGACTAAGGCTTTTTGAATTGCCTTATAATTCCCTCTTTGGAAATAAAGACAGAACCCAGGGCCATGTCTTCTGAGCTTGCTTCATCCGTGTTTTATATGGACCCAAAGACGGGGCTTCCCCTACAGGCAGCTCTGTAACGGAAAAGGGGAGATTTGGCATGTGAAGAGGTGGGCACAGGCTGGTGAGCCAGCAGCGGGATCCAGTGTGGATCTATGGGGAGACACAGCTGTCCTTAATTAATCCCAAATTGAAAATGGGAACCAAAATTAAGAGAACTGTCCCTTTGATTAATCATTGGGGGAGGAGAGGGGCCATTGGGGGAGGGGGAAGCTTTTACTGATGCTATTGTGCAGCTTCCTGGACTATCACTGGAGACAGAGACGTCAAGCGTCTTCCTCCAAGCCTGACAATTGTAAGGACAAGGTTTCCTGGCTGTAGATGCTGAATCAATGTCTATTTTTATTTATGACCCTACCGTGATCTGTTTGCATATTCAGTCTCCCTACTTGTAGAATGACAAAAGAAAATTATCCCTTCGGATTTCTCATTTTTCTAATAAAAAAGTATCTTTTGCACCTCACACTATACAATGTAAACTTCTGTCTTAAAAAGATAATTGAATTCTCAGTCCATATGAATGAGATTTCTTCTGCAGATATATGAGAACCCACACATTAGAACTTCTTTGATGTGGCCTTTACCTGAGAAGAAACCCAGGAATTCTTTTAAAATAATGTTCCATGTGGTTGGTCCAGAGCCCTGGGAACGGCTCTCCCTTGGCTTTGATAAATGAATGTGCACCCAGAATCAATGAACATGCTAAACCTCACACCTTTTGCCAAAAAAAAGATTTGCAGGAAAATAAAATGTTGAAAAGGAATAAGTGGGTTTCAAAGAACTTAAGCTGTTTATGATGAGATCCTGGATTCCTTCTAAAAGGTTAATTGGTATTGAATAAACAAATACACATCACATTTTGGAAGAAGGGGGACCAGGGTCCCAACATCCACCTCCATATGGGAGATTTCCAACTCTTGAAGTTGCCACCTTTAAGACACACCTCTTAGAAGTTCCAGCACCAGCCCCCAATAGACTCACTGGCTGAGTGCCAGGTCATTAAAAGGAACACCTTTGAGAAACATTTATCTCAGTCACAGCAAAAGACAAAGAAACCACAGTGTAGTGCTGGGCATATGGAATCAACTTCAAAGACAGCTGGCCGACATACGGAAGCGTAAAAGAAAGACTCCAACCGTCTGCACGGCTATTAGGATGCGGATGGGTCTTACTTAGGAACAGAAACAAAACAAAATTGCTCCCAACCGCCATTGAGCCCCCAAACACATGTGGAGTAAATGTTCCGGTCCTCTAAACCAAGGACATCTTGGTCCCTTCTGCTGTGGTGGTTTGAAGAAGGATGGCCTCCATAACCTCATATATTTGGATGCTTGGTCCACCCTGTTTGGGAAGGACTAGGAGGTGTGGCCTTGTTGGAGGTGCATCCCTGAGGGTGGGCTTTGAGGTTTTAGGAGCTTATGTAATTCCCAGGCAGTTCTTTCTCCTGCCTCCAAATTTTGGATAAGATGTAAACTCTCAGCTACTTCTCCAGTTCCTGCCTATCTGCCTGCTGCCAGGCTCCCCACCACACTGATCATAGTTTCACCCTCTGAGAGTGTAAGCAAGTCCCCAACTAAATGCTTTTGTAAGTTTTCTGACTCACAGGGTCTCTTCACAGCAGTAGAAAAGTAACTAAGAGGTGCCAAAGCTACTAACCCAGGCCTCTGGTGACGGGAGAACACAGAACGAGTAGAGCCCATAAAACAGAACTGTAGCCAATAGCAAAAGCAATCAGAAGCTGGAAATTTTATTATAGCCACAAGGAAAACTGAGAAATACTCTTGAGGATATTAGCTGCGAGGATGACCTTGAACTAATCATCCTGCCTCCCCATCCTCCGTGTTGGGATGGAGGCTGGCACCACCACAATGGCATATAAGGTACTGGTGATCGAATCAAGCCCTCTACCTGCCCCCTACATCCCTAGCCCCTGGAGGATTCTTAATAAACAGAAGCAATGCTAGTCCAAATGCAGCACCTCAAAGGACCAGGTCAAGTTTGAGAACGTCTAAACTACGACTCCATTCTGCCTCAGGAGGCCCCTCCAGAGGTCCTGACCCCATATCAGTCTGAGCTTCATGAAGCCCACCTCGTCATCCTCCAGAGAAAGAGTGACCCCTAAATCCTGCAGGCCTTCCTGAAATTCAAAGAGGTCCACAGCTCCATCTTCATCATGGTCCAGATACCAAAAAAGATCTTCGTAGAGGGAATCCATGTGCAATATCTCCTGCGGCCAGGGTAACCCCTGCTATGGCCCTCTGAGTCCCCCAGGGGCCGAAGTCCCTGGGATAGGACAAAGAGTCTGTCTGCCCACAGTGAGAGAGAAGGACGAAGGCAAAGCATCTGCAGGGGTTACCGCATCAGAAGGAGAAAGCCTCATCCTAACCGTCCCGAGATTGCCGGGGCACGCGCAGGGCAAGAACCAGTGGGCTACTCCGGAACCGAGTTCTGCCCCAGAGTCCATGGGCAGGAGCTCCTGCCTCCACTCTAGGTTCTACAGGAGCCAAGACAGAACCAGCCAAGCCCCGCCACCACTTTCAAGAGAGCCCAGCGCAAGACCATCTAAAAGAGAAGTTTGTATTTTGTCTTGCTTTGTTTGGTCTGTTTTGGGAAAAAAAAAAAAAAAACCCGCGAGAATAGAGTGGGACCGGGCTATTGCTCTGTGATCTGCGGACAGTCGCAGAGGTCACCCGACCACTTTTGGAAAACTGTGTGTGGTTTGCGACTTGTTACTATTTTCTGGGGTGCTGGGGAAGGAATGTGTTCGAACATGCACATGCTAGAAAGTCGCTAACTGCTCCACCACCGAGCTTCAGGTAGGGTCTATATTTTTAGTTATAAGCAGGTTGTCCTAAGAAGAGGATTATTTTTAGGGGTGAAGTGCACCAGGCTGACAGTCATAAAGTCTGAAACCAGACAGCTAGGGATCCAGCATGGGTCCGACCGAAGCCCTCTGCATTGGGGTGACAGTTGTATAGCTTGGTCTTTTGTGGGGACTGTAGCAGCGAGACCAGGATCTGTCCGTGATGCATGAGCTGGCTCTTTGGAATTTATTCCCTCTGGTGGGGATGCCTTGTTCAGCCTTGATGCAAGGGGGTGGAGCTTGGTCCTGCCTCAACCTGATATGCCTTGCTTTGTCGACTCCCATGGGAGGCCTTACCCCATCAGAATGGAGAGGAAGGAGGAAAGGATGGGGGGAGGGATAGAAGAGAGGCAGGGGGAGGGAACAAGAGGAGAGGAGGGAGGGGAAATTGTGGCTGGTGTGTAAAATAAATTTTTAAAAAATGATGAATAAAAAAAGACTGAAAATAAAGAGAAATTAGCCCATGTGGACCTTTTCTTCTGTGTCCCCCCCTCCATCTCCACCTCCCACCCCTGATTTTTTTTTATCTTTTATTTTCACACAATATCGATAGTGACTCTGGGGGGGAAATGTCTCCATCTGGGCGCCAGTTGAGACCCAGAGGATAATCCACAAATGGCCAGGGGTTAAGGCAGCTGGACGCCAACGAGAAGGCAGGAGAGACTGTTAGTACTATCTGTGGCTTTTCAATGCTCACTGTCCTGAGCCACGGGAAGCCCTGAACCCCCGGTTCACACATCTGCGGCCCCTCGTCCCGCTCGGAAAGACTCGCTGCTTTTACACTGCTTGCTTTTCAAACTGAATAATGTTTAAAATGAAAACACAAATGTGCAGTGAGACGGCACCGGATGCTTGAGCCCCAGACGGAAGGCTCCTCAATGCTAGGCCAGCCTGAGATAGCGCGTAATGAGACCTTCACTCAAAAATAAGTATTTTAATTAGATATTAAAATTCACAAAGAAAATTCAATTCTGCCGTCCTCCATTAGCTCTGTACTGCTTATCACATCGGGTGCTGAGAGCAAGACAAAGAGCATCACAAAGCCTAGGCAGATTCCCGCAAGGAGGAGGCTGCACCACAGTTAAACATAGGTACCGCTGTAAGCTCTGCAATAGATATTTCCCAAGAGCTGTTGAGCAGGGGCTAACACGGAAGGCTGTTTCACAAAACCTGTGGCCCAATTGTGAATGAATTGTCTCACAAGAGAGGATTTGAACTTTTGGATGTATTTATTTGATGTGCATGTGCTTGTGCATTTGTGTGCCTTTCATGTGTGCTGGTGCTGGAGCATTTCAAGAATGGGCACCCAGTCCCCCGGAACCAGTGTCCGAGTCCCCTGGACCTGGTATTATAGATGGCTGGGAGTTGTGCTGGTCTGAGGAACAGGGGACAATGTGTTGTCACTATTAATTTCCCACAGGTTTCTCAATTTTCCGCATTGAATGTCATTGTATTCTCCTCTGCCCTCACCCATCTCTCCTTCTGCACCTTCTTTCTAGCTTTTTGTTTTGTCTTTAAATTAAAGATTAGACTAGAAAATTTTTAAAAGATAGTCCCAAAATTTGGGTATTCTCTGAAATACTCTGGTGAACATCAGAACAGTTAGGACACTGGAGATGGAGGAAATCATCTGAAATTTAATGTCTTGACGTGGAAGTCTTGAGTAACATAGCTCAATGCAGATGAAGAGTCAGGGGATCTATGTGGAAGTCTGTTCTTATACTTAGGCTTAGAAGACATTGAAACAGTACAGCATCCTCTACTTCTGAAATGTAAAATAATAAAACAATAAAAGGA